GGAGGCAGGGATCACTGGAGGCTGTCTTAGAAACTGCTGCCCACAGGCCCTCGTTTATAGTATAGCTCTAAGGCTTATATGGTTTTATATTTATGAAGAGCTTAGGACAGCACCTGTTTGCTCTGATCATCAGCGTGATCCTTCTGATCCAATGAAGCACCCATTTCTTCATCTAGACCCTCCTACGTCAACAGTTCTCATTTTTTCCCGCAATGCCCTGTAAAAGAGTATAGGAAAGGCAAGACAGTAACCGCTGCAAGGAAAGAGGCTGAGGAAGCAGAATAGAAAGGGGATAGGATGGGAGATCCTGAAAAACTCTGGGGGAGGGTGCCTAGAGACAAAAGGGAAGTAGGAGACCCTTGTCTCCTATGGTGGGCTTTACACTTTTTTTTTTTTTTTTTTGAGACAATGACTTTCTCTGTCACCCAGCACCCACGCTGGAGTACAGTGGTGTGATCTCCAATCACTGAAACCTTCACCTTCAGAGCTCAAGCAATCCTCCTGCCTCAGCCTCCTAAGTAGCTGGGACTACAGGCATGCGCCACCACACTCAACTAGTTTATATATATATATAATATGTATATATAAATATTGGTAGAGACCAGGTTTTGCCATGTTGCCCAGGCTGGTCTTGAACTCCTAGGCTCAAGTGATTTGCCCGCCTCAGCCTCCCAAGTGCTGGGACTACAAGCATAAGCCACTGTGCCCGGCCAGCTTTACCCTGTTTAGAGTATTTCCATATACATGATCATATTGATTCTCACCACAGCTATGTGAAATAAAAATTGTTATTTCTATTTTAGAGATGAAGGGGAGGCTGGGCGCGGTGGCTCATGCCTGTAATCCCAGCACTTTGGGAGGCTGAGGTGGGCGGATCTCCTGAGGTTGGGAATTTGAGACCAGCCTGACCAACATGGAGAAACCCTGTTTCTATTAAAAATACAAAATTAGCCAGGCGTGGTGGCGCATGCCTGTAATCCCAGCTACTCAGGAGGCTGAAGCAGGAGAATTGCTTGAACCTGGGAGGCAGAGGTTGCAGTGAGCTAAGATTGTGCCATTGCACTCCAGCCTGGGCAACGAGAGCGAAACTCCATCTCAAAACAAAACAAAACAAAACAAAACAAAACAAAAAAAAAACAGAGATGAAGGGGAAAGCCCAGAAAGGGCACACAGCTAGTAAGCAGGCAATCGAGAACTTCAGTCCAGGCTGTCTTACCCTATGCCCTTGAATCTTTCTGTTGCAGTCTGACTTAGCTGCCCAACTTCTTTCCCATGAAGTTATAGCTTCAGCTGGAGTCATGGAAAGCCATATGGCATAAATATAATGCTGTGGGGGTGACATGTCAGATACTGGGTTAGGTCTTCTAGCCCTGCCTGGCCCAGCAAGTAAAATCAACTTGGCTAAAAGCTGACTCAAAAATGGGAAACCAGGGCCAGACATGATGGCTCATGCCTGTGATCCCAGCACTTTGGGAGGTCGAGGTGGGTGGATCCCTTAAGCTCAGGAGATCAAAACCAGCCTGGGCAACATAGTGAGACCTCATTTCTACTGAAAATAAAAATAAAAATAAAAAATAAGTCAAGCATGGTAGCACGTGCCTGTAGTTAAAACTGCTTAGGAAACTGAGGTGGGAGGATTGCTTGAACCTGGGAAGTCAAGGCTGCATTCCAGCCTGGGTGACAAGGCACAGCATCTAAAGGGAATCAGTCCTGATTCCATAAGCTTTCGGTACTGGGTTTCTCAATTAGGAAGGTGGAGCTGTGGAGCCCAGCAGCAAAAGGCACAGAAGCTGATGATACGTTATTACCCAGAAGTTTGAGGTGAAGGGAAAAGCTGTGGGACTGGCAGGAGAAGCTGGTACAAGGAGAGTAAGTAAATCAGGCTCCTGGACTTGCAAGGCTGATGGTGTCCAGGTTAGGGCTGCAGTCCTAGAGGGGAAGACTGGAGTGCCAGGCAGCAAACCGTGACTGAGACTTAACTATTCCTGTCCTGTCCCTCTCTTCTTTAGTAAAAAAGCCCCCTTTTTGCCTGGGCAAATTGCTGCCTGTAATAAAGGCCTTGTTTCCCCAGCTGGCTAACTGTGGCCATGTGGCTAAGTTATGGCCACTGGAATATAAGTGGAACTGGTGAGTGTGTGTGGCTTACAGAAGCATCTTTTTTTTTTTTTTTTTTTTTTTGGTTGTTTTTGTCTTGTTTGTTCTTGAGACTGGGTTTTACTCTGTAGCCCAGGCTAGAATACAGTGGTACAATCATAGCTCACTGCAGCCTCAATCTCCTGGGCTCAAGCAATCCTCTTGTCTCAGCCTCCTGAGTAGCTGGGACTGCAAGTGTGCATCACCAAGACTGGCTAATTTTTAACATTTTTAGTAGAGACAAGGTCTCACTATGTTGCCCAGGCTGGTCTCCAACTCCTGGCCTCAAGTGATCCTCCTGCTTTGGCCTCCCAAAGTGCTGGGATTATAGCATAAGCCACCACCACCAGTCAGAATGGATGAAACTGAAGAAGCTACCCTGCACCTGGAGGAAGCCATGATTGAGCAAAGCAGAATGACACAATGAAAGCAGCACAGGTCCCTGATGCTGTGGAACCCCCTGGACCCGCCTACCTTTGGGCTTCCTTTACATGAGAAAGAACTATCTTAATTGAGCCACTCTTATTTTGTATTTTCTGTCCCATGGAGTAGAACCTAATTCTAATTAATACAGTATTTAAGACTAAGTAGGCCAAATGTGAGCAGGAGACATTTTTGAATATTGATTGCACAAGGAGACAGGACTTGGGAGATGTGGCCGCTGGCACCCAGATTCACATCTGGTTGATAATGAAGACAGGAGGTGTTGCTTATGGTACTGGAGCTTGAAGTTAGACTTGCAGGATGAGGAGGGTAGCATGAGTAGAACCTAGGTTTGGGGGTAAGAGGCTGGTTTAAATTCTCGTTTTTTTGCTTACTGGCTGAGTGATCTGGTGAACTGTTGAATCCCTTGAGCTTCAGTTTGTTTATCCGAGGGGTGGTGGTTATGATTAAATGAGATAATAAACACAAAGCATTTTAATTCCCTTCTGTCTTCTTTGTTCTCTTTCTTGCTCTTTACCCCTAATCCTAACTTCCATTTACCCCCTGGACTAAGAGTATGACTTAATTCCCAGTCTCACCTTCTCTGGTATGAAGGGAAATAGAGGCCACTTATGTAAATTCTGCCTGTTGGAATTTGCCACAGAACGTGGTGGTGACAAACTTAGCTGTGGAAGGGTCAGTGTTGGCTCCATGTTAGAATCACGTGGGCTAATTTTTACAACAGACTCTGCCCTAAATCAATTGAAGTCTTGACATGGGCAGTCTGAACATTAGTCTTTTTCCAAGCTCCCCCAGGTGATCCTGATGCACAGTGAAAATTGAGAACTGCCAGAGAAGGGAAAGAAGAGGCATGCCCTAGCACCTGGTGGGTACTCAGTAATGCAATGAATTGTAATTGACCTGAGTTTGAGATTCATAGGGAAAGGATCTGGGTCTCCTTATTTTCTTTAAATACACATGGTCCACTCAGATTATTTATTGACTAACCCAAGTTTTAGTAGTTTAGAGATACTGCATAACTGGAGGCACTCTGACATTTTAGAGCCAGGAACAATGTTCAAGATTGTTTAGCAGGCCAGGCACGGTGGCTTATGCCTGTAATCCCAGAACTTTGGGAGGTCAAGGTGGGGGGATCACCTGAGGTCAGGAGTTCGAGACCAGCCTGCCCAACATGGCAAAACCCCGTCTCTACTAAAAATACAAAAATTAGCCGAGCGTGGTGGCATGCGCCTGTAATTCCAGCTACTTGGGAGGCTGAGGCAGGAGAATCGCTTGAACCTGGGAGGCGGAGGTTGCAGTGAACTGAGATTCTGCCATTGCACTCCAGCCTGGGCAACAAGAGCGAAAAACTATCTCAAACAGACAAACAAACAAACAAAATAACCAATTAGCCAATCTACTTAACTTTATTGGTCTTTCAGTTTTCTGTGAGTAAAATGAAACTTTTGTGGCTACAGTGGATTTAGAGAAGACACAGGATGTTACACAGGAAATATGCAACTTCTATTCATCTTATTTTGATGGAGAGGAGAGGCTGGGTGCCCTACATGCCTTTTGTATTTCACTTGGGCTGCAATAACGTGTCCAGATCCAAAGGCCAAAGCTGCATTTTTGTTTGAGACAGGGCCTCACTCTGTCCCCCAGGTTGGAGTGCGGTGTTGTGATCAAGGCTCACTGCAGCCTTGGCATCCTGGGCTCAAGAGATCCTCCTACCTCAGCCTCCCACCTCAGCCTCCCCAGCAGCTGGGACTACAGGTCCATATCCAGTTATTATTATTTTTTTTTTCTTTATTTCTTCTTTTTTTTTTTTTTTTTTTTTTTTTTTTGGTAGCAATGGGGTCTTGCTGTGTTCTCTAGGCTAGTCTTAAATTCCTGGGCTCAGGTGATCAATCTTCCCACCTTGGCCTCCCAAAGTGGTGGCCCCAAAGCTGCATTTCTTAATGGCCAGTCTAGGAACTTCAGTGGAAGTGGACATTTCAGTTGTACATCTCTGGGGTCAGCAACTGAAGTTAGTGAAATGCAAATATTGAGAAAAACAGGGCAATCGGGCATACTTTCACCTAGATGTTACACCTCTAAACTACCAGGAAGGAAGTGCAAAGGAGGAGTTGCAAGCTCAGGTTGCAGACTCGAAGGTAAACTTGCATGTTGACTTAAGTGTGCCTTAGGGGAAAAAACATTTAGAGAGCCCCGCCAGTTTCTTATCTAGATGGCCAGAACTGGCAAGGTGCCTTTGGGAATTAGGATTAAGATCAGAGATAGTCTTTGGGGATAGTGGTGACTGTGGAAGAAATATATACAAAAATAGCCTGGCAGTTCCAAAGAGAATTTTTTAAATTCCAGGAAAGTGCTCTTAGCCCTGACTGAATAGGTCTGCTGCTATCATGATATCCCTGCAAAAGAGCCAATAATTCTACTTCCTGCAGAGAAAAAAGGTCATTTTATTTTTTTGAAGAAATAGATTTAATTCAATGCATATATAGTAATTCTTGAACTAACAGAGCCATCTTGATAAGGATGTCTTCTCCGTGATGCCACAGGCAGAGGCTTGTATTAGTTGAGAGGTCTGCATTAGATCAAAGGAGATAAAGAGGGAAGAGAAGAAAGAAAGGGAGAGTTGAATATAACCACAAATCTTGGTAAATCACTCAAGTTGTAAAGCCAACTATTGGAAACAGGAATCATTGCTTAGGTCATGGAGACCCACACTTGGATTTGAGCTCATGCTGTTAAGTATACAAGGTCCAAATCACTTGGAGGTAGCCTACGGGAAAGTCACTGATCATACTCCTACACTGGAAACTCTATCTCAGATCTGATACTCTTTTAATAAATTAGTTAATTGGAATTATTATTTTGATCTGGTAAAAATTTTACTCTTATTTCATCTTATGTCACATTTTAGCAAGATGTGACAAGGGGTCCTCAACTAATTTCACTGTACTTTCCCAATCAGGCTTGGATACAGGCATGTGGGTATACACAAGGGGGAATGCAGAAGTGTAGATGACTTCACGTGACTATCTGAGGGTGGACACTTTAATGGAATACTCCATGCTTGTATGTTACTTGATTTAGACAATTTTATCAGTTACTTAGCACAGTAGGTCAATGTATATATGTTGATTTTCTGAAAGATGAAAAATTAAGGATGGCCTCTCTTTGGTTGAAGAGGATGAAATGGGAGGTTTACACTGATCTGGCAAGCCACAGAGGGAAGTTCTGGTTTTGTTTGTGGCTTGGGCTTATTTCCTGGACTACTCATGTGAAAGCATGTGTCACCCACAACTCAGACTTTTAATTTCTAAAACTTTACATTTCACATAACCTTCCTACAGTTAACTGATATTCAAGTTCTCTCTCCACAACCTCTCTCTCCAAAATTCTACTAAGGAACACTCTTCAAATTGGAGTCTCCACCTGATTAGATGAGTTTCATAAAACTTCTTTTTTTTTTTTTTTTTTTTGACCAACTCTGTTACCCAGGCTGGAGTGCAGTGGCATGATCATTGCTCACTACAGCCTCAACCTCCTGGGCTCAAGTGATCCTCCTGCCTCAACCTTCTGAGTGTGTGGGACTACAGGCACTTGCCACCATGCCGAGCTTTATAAAACTTTTTAAAGTTTATTAGTAGCCTTTCCAGAGGCAGTTTCAGCTGATGGGTAGTTGAGACTTTGGTAAAGAAGTGATTGTTGTGAATTGAACTGAATGCAACTTTAACATAGTGTATTTTTGGATGTGTGGTATAGGTTTGTCTAGTAGTGGAATGGTACTTTTACACCAATGATGATTTCGAGATAGATTTCTATCTTCAACGATCACCTGTGGACCCCTTAATTTTTCTCCTTACCTGTGAAGTTAAGTCCCAATGACATAGAGTTAGTTTGGTTCTTTTCCCACAATGTAATCCTTAGACAAATTGTGCCCAAGAAATTACCTTGACATAGATCATGTTTGGATGCTTTTTGGAGTGCTGCCTGTTGATGGACGATCACGTTGGTTAAAGGAAGTTGCCTTGGCTATTGGCTAATGGATGTGGCCCAGAACAAATTCTGTGCTGTATTCCTTTCTTCCTTCAAAGTCGGTTATTCCAATTTCAGGACAAAGCAATACATCCTTGGGAGAAGGGGTGTCTGAAATAAGCGCTCTGCCTTCATTTCCATTTCATTCTTCAGGACGTCTCCCTTCCCATCACACTGAGTCATGAAATACAAGTCAGTCATAGTGAATGGCACAGAGGCCTGAAAATGCTGTATGGATGGAGTGAGGATACTTGATTTAGACAATTTTATCAGTTACTTAGCACAGTAGGTCAATGTATATATGTTGATTTTCTGAAAGATGAAAAATTAAGCTTCTTCAGTCTTATCTCAGAGGAAAATGGGAAAATGATCTCAGAAGCCAAAAATAAGCCAAAGTAAAATGACATTCATGTAAGAGTGCACAATGGCTTTCAAAGAGTTAGATCTTCAAAGGACATTTTATTTCCACTATGGATTTTTTTTTTTTTTTGAGACAGAGTTTTGCTCTTTGGCCTAGGTTGGAGTGCAGTGGCGCAATCTTGGCTCACTGCAACCTCTGCCTTCCGGTTTCAAGTGACTCTCCTGCCTCAGCCTCCTGAGTACTTGGAATTACAGGCGCCTGCCACCACACCTGGCTAATGTTTGTATTTTTAGTAGAGATGGGGTTTCACCATGTTGGCCAGGCTGGTCTTGATCTCCTGACCTCGTGATCCGCCCGTCTCGGCCTCCCAAAGTGCTGGGGTTACAGGCTTGAGCCACCGTGCCTGGCCTGATTCTGGAATTTAAATGGAAAGGAAAAGGAACTAGAAGAACCAAAGAAATTATGAAAAAAAAGTTGGAGGAAACACATTATCCGATTTAAGACTTACTATAAGCGACAGTAATCAAGACAGTATGGTATTAGAAAGAAATAGACAATAGACCAATGAAACAGAACAGACAGTCCCTGAATAGTACCACCCAAATATGGCCAATTGACTTTCGACAAAGGTGCAAATGAAGAAAGGACAATCCTTTCAACAACTGGTGTTAGAATAATTGGACATCCTTATGCCAAAAACAAAAAAACCCAAAAAACTGCAAACTAAACCTCACATCTTATTTGAGGTAAAACTTACCTCAAAATATACAAAATATAAAACATGAAAGTACAAAACTTTTTTTTTTTTTCTTGAGACAGAGTCTCGGTCTGTTGCCAAGGCTGGAGTGCAGTGGCGCGATCTTGGCTCACTGCAACCTGCACCTCCCGGGTTCAAGCAATTCTCTGCCTCAGCCTCCCGAGTAGCTGGGATTACAAGTGCCCGCCACCACGCCTAGCTAATTTTTTGTATTTTTAGTAGAGACGGGGTTTCACCATCTTGGCCAGGCTGGTCTTGAACTCCTGACCTCGTGATCCACCCACCTCGGCCTCCCAAAGTGCTGGGATTACAGGCTCATGCCCGGCTGAAAGTACAAAACTTTTAGAAGAAAATGTGGAAGAAAACCATTGTGACCTGGGTTTAGAGCAAAGAATTCTTAGACACGACACCAAAAGCACATTCATAAAATAAAAAATTGACATAAAATTAGAAAAAAAAAAATTGGACTTATCAAATTTTAAAACATTTGCTCTGAAAAAGACAGTATTAAGAAAATGAGAGGCCGGGCGCGGTGGCTCAAGCCTGTAATCCCAGCACTTTGGGAGGCCGAGGCGGGCGGATCACAAGGTCAGGAGATCGAGACCACAGTGAAACCCCGTCTCTACTAAAAATACAAAAAATTAGCCGGGCGCGGTGGCGGGCGCCTGTAGTCCCAGCTACTCAGGAGGCTGAGGCAGGAGAATGGCGGGAACCCGGGAGGCGGAGCTTGCAGTGAGCCGAGATCGCGCCACTGCACTCCAGCCTGGGCAACAGCGTGAGACTCCGTCTCAAAAAAAAAAAAAAAGAAAATGAGATAGATTGGACAGATGTTGGTCAATGGATTAAAACAATAAATAGAACAAAATGAAAAGACAACCTACAGGCTAGGGGAGAAAATATTTGCAAATCACAAATATCCAACAATGAATTTGTGTTCAGAATATACGAAGAACTGTGGCCTAGGCATAGTGGGTCACACTCGTAATCCCACCACTTTGGGAGGCCAAGGTGGAAAGATCACTTGAGGCCAGGAGTTCAAGACCAACCTGGTCAACATGGCAAGACTCCGTCTCTACAAAAAAAAATTTTTTTAAGTTGCCAGGCATGGTGACACACATCTGTAGTCCCAGCTACTTGGGAGGCTAAGTTGGAAGAATCGCACGAGCCCAGGAGTTTAAGGCTGCAGTGAGCTATGATTGCACCATTGCACTCCAGCCTGGGTGACAGAGTGAAACCCTATCTCTAAAAATTTAAAAAAAATAAAAAATAAAATTAAAATTTTTTTTTTTTTTTTTTTTTTTTTTTTTTTTTTTTTGAGATGGAGTCTCAGTCTGTCACCCAGGCTGGAATGCAGTGGCGTGATCTCGGCTCACTGCAAGCTCGGCCTCCCAGGTTCATGCCATTCTCCTGCCTCAGCCTCCCGAGCAGCTGGGACTACAGGCGCCCACCACCACGGCCGGCTAATTTTTTGTATTTTTAGTAGAGACGGGGTTTCACTGTGTTAGCCAAGATGGTCTCGATCTCCTGACCTCGTGATCCACCCGCCTCAGCCTCCCAAAGTGCTAGGATTACAGGCGTGAGCCACCGCACCCGGCCTAAAATGTATTTTATAAAGGACTCGAACAGATACAGCACCAAAAAGGATATACTAGTGGCAAATAAACGCAGGAAAAGGTTTTTAACATCATTAGCCATTAGTGATACATAGATTAAAACCATAGTGAGATACCACTATATACCTACTAGAATGGCTAAAATATTTTTAAAATTATTTTTAACTGATAATATCAAATGCTGGTGAGGATGTGGATCAACTGGAACTTTCATACATTGCTGGGAGGAATTCAAAATTATATAGCAATTCTGGAAATAGTTTGGCAGTTTCTAATAAAGCTAAATATACACTAACCATAGGCCCTGCAATCTAACACCTAAGTATTTACTAGAGATGAAAACTTAAGTTCATATAAAAATCTGTACATGTTTATAGCAGCCCTTTTCATAATCATCAAAAACTAGAAAAAACCCAAGTGTGCTTCAATAGGTAAATGGAGAAACAAACTATGGTACATTCGTCAGTGGAATACTACTCAGCAATCAAAAGAAATGAACCACTGTTACACACGACTTGGATAAATCTCAAATTCATTATGCTGACTGCAAGAAATCCCTGGCCTCAGTTTCCTCCTCTATAAAAATGTGGGCCTCAAGAAGGTCTCTTCCTGGCCAGGTGCAGTAGACCACACCTGTAATCCCAGCGCTTTGGGAGGCCGAGGTGGGTAGATCACCTGAGCTCAGGAGTTTGAGACCAGCCTGGCCAACATGGCGAAACCCTGTCCCTACTAAAAATACAAAAATTAGCCGGGCATGGTGGCACGCACCTGTAGTCCCAGCTACTGGAAGACTGAAGCAGGAGGATCGCTTGAACTCAGGAGGTGGAGGTTGTGGTAAGCCACGATCGTGCCACTGCACTCTAGCCTGGGTGACAGAGTAAGACTCTGTCTCAAAAAAAAAAAAAAAAAAAAAAAGGAAAGTCCCTTCCAGTTCCATGTTCACAAATTTATGATCCAAATCAGCTATACTCTGAGAAGGGAGCTGCAAGTTCAGTCTGGAACCTTCTGAGACTCCCAAAACTGTAGAAAGCTCTCAACTGTCTACTCAAAGTCAGGCCAGTTTGTGGTCCAGGTACAGTCTGGACACATGGAGTCTGGACACATGGTGTGGGGCAGGATGGGGCCAGCATGGGTAGGGAGAGTGAATCCAGGGCTGCTCTCTATTGTGGGGAGTCTTCTAAAGCTCTCCTATAACAGAGGATAACTCATTTAAGGCTAGGGCTTTGCAAACAATGGGTTTACTAATCTTACTCCTCTAAGGAGTAAGAAATGCAGCTGGTTACAACCAGCATGCTTTGTAAAGAAATGGAATTAAATGGAATAGAGGAGAAACCATCAGAGTGTGTAAGTAAGTGTAAATATTATTTCAGCAAGCTTTTGTCTGGGGAGGAGGTTGTCATGTAAAACATTTGAAAGCATTGAAACATTTGAAAACTCGTGAATATGTGGAGGGAGCAGGGTAGGAAGAGGTGTCTTTCCAGGCCAGAAATACCGCTGGGAGATGGTGAGAAACAGACCTGAATTAGAAGTGATCCCATGGGCCGGGCGCGGTGGCTGAAACCTATAATCCCAGCACTTTGGGAGGCCAAGACGGGCGGATCACGAGGTCAGGAGATCGAGACCATCCTGGCTAACACGGTGAAACCCCGTCTCTACTAAAAAATACAAAAAAAACCTAGCCGGGCGAGGTGGCGGGCGCCTGTAGTCCCAGCTACTCGGGAGGCTGAGGCAGGAGAATGGCGAAAGCCCGGGAGGCGGAGCTTGTAGTGAGCTGAGATCTGGCCACTGCACTCCAGCCTGGGCTACAGAGCAAGACTCCGTCTCAAAAAAAAAAAAAAAAAAGAGGTGATCCCATGACCCAAATCCCCAACCTGCAAATGATCTGAGAATCCTTTTAAAAAGGTAGGAGAAGGGCTCTCATTCCCAGAAAACTGTCCTGGCCTCTTCCCTGAGCGCCCTGGGCACTGGCCCATGCAACAGCTTGGGTTTTCTGTGTGTGTGGTTTTGTTTTTTTTTTGAGACGGAGTCTCACTCTGTTGCCCAGGCTGGAGTGCAGTGGCATGATCTTGGCTCACTGCAACCTCCACTTCCCAGGTTCAAGCGATTCTCCCGTCTCAGTTTCCCGAGTTGGTGGGATTACAGGCGTGCACCACCACACCCAGCTAATTTTTTGTATTTTTAGTAGAGACAGGGTTTCACCATTTCGGCCAGGCTGGTTTCGAACTCCTGACCTCAAGTGATCTTTCCGCCTCGGCCTCCCAAAGTGCTGGGATTACAGGCGTGAGCCACCACACCCCAGCCTCTAGTATGTTATAAGCACTCATCAATATACAAAGGGTTGATGTAACTTGACTTAATTTTCTGCAGTTGGTGTGGCCATGAAAAAGCTCTATTAAAAGGAATTGTGTTTTAATCATACTCTGCTAATGATTTTGGTTATAATTTTGGAAATCTTTTTTTTTGTTTTTGAGATGGAGTCTCGCTCTTGTCACCCAGGCTGGAGTGCAGTGGCAAGATCTCGGCTCACTGCAACCTCTGCCTCCTGGGTTCAAGCTATTCTCCTGCCTCAGCCTTCTGAGGAACTGGGATTACAGGCGACCACCACCACACCCAGCTAATTTTTGTACTTTCAGTAGAGACAGGGTTTCACCATGTTGGCCAGACTGGTCTTGAACTCCTGACCTCAAGTGATCCGCCTGCCTCAGCCTCCCAAAGTGCTAGGATTACAGGTGTGAGCCACCGCGCCCGGCCTGGAAATATTTTCTTATATA